CTACTACTACTACTACTACTACTACTACTACTACTACTACTACTACTACTACTACTCTTGCTGCTACTACTATTACTCCTGCTGCTACTACTACTACTAATATCACCACCACTACTACTACTGCCTCTTCACGCAGATGAAGAGAGTTGATGAGTGTTTCGGGCACCCAACTTCCGTTCAGACACCAAGATGGATTATGGATCCCTCTCAAACGAGAACTGCGATGAAGCCCCACCCACTCAACCAGCTTCCATTACCGGAAGAAGACTGCATTTTTGTGAGAGTCCAGGATCTTCTTAGCAACTTTTCCTGGTGCTTTCAATGCCAGCTAAACATAGTCACAGCCAAACCTCTTTTCGTTTTGCAGCCATTGCTGTGCTTCTCGCCGCTTCTCCGCAGCTCAGGGTCTACAAGCATCAGATTTGGACCTTGCGGCGCTACTTCCGAGAGCAAGGCATCTCAGCCACGCTGACCCACAGGCAGTGCAGCGAATGGGATGTTGGTGACGGTTTCCGTCGTGACGAGCTCGGATGGCGGCTGAGGAGGGTGATACCGCGCGCAAAAACACACAGCCAAAAATCCCTAGGGCCGATATGAAATGAACAATTAGGATAGAATGGGTTTCAGAGAGATGGTGGGTGCATGCATTTTACAAAGACAAAAATTTGGTAAGGCAGTCTATGCATATGTCAGTTCATTTTACAGAGATCGGATATCATCATCACACATGGCCGTGGAATGGTTTCTATAGAGATACTGTTCGAAACCCTCGGAACACAATCTATAGAAAAATATTGTTCGAGTCAGCAAATCCAACATTCGAAAGAAAAGGTTCTAGCTGTTGAATCTCTTTTGTGAGACATTGGAAACAAGACTCTGGTTCTATAAATTGACTGAATGCAAACCAAAGTGATGGGAATGCTCTCAATATTCTGTAGAATGGCAGGGAACACAAGTGTGTATAGAATGTTTCAGGCAGTCGGCAACTCGGCAATATTTTTTCTATGGAATGCGTCCCAAGCTCCAAACAACATAGAGGCAAAAGAGGCAAAAGCTGCAATTCTCGAGTTTTGGACACTTAGCATATATTTCATGATTCTGTTGCGTGTGTTCAGAGGAACTGTCATTCTATAGGCAACTGGCAGCTGCACACTTGTGTTATTCTATAATTTGGCTGACACAGCCGCACCCCTCTAATTCCAATCCCTATCAAAAACCTATGGGAAAGCTGAAGTGTGGCTGGAAGGTTGCAAAGCACCAAGGAGAATGCGGAAATATCGTCTACTTTCGTGTTGGCTTCAGAATCCATTCATAAACTAGTTTGGTGAACTGTTCAGATTGGTGTTGTTTTTTCCTTGTGGTTTTGGCTTCTTGCCCGGTTTCGTTGGCGGCATTCGTCTGACTTAATTATCCTGTTCGTGTATGTTCGTGTCTGGTATGCTCTTGCGTTGGCCGCTTTGGCCATGGTGAATGGCCTGATTTTTCTAGGTCTCATTTCAGCCCGAATCTCCGTCAATTTTGTTCTTCTATCTATGCTTTACCCCTTCCGGTGGTTGACTCAGTGTAGAGGGCAACGGTGAAGTGGATACCCTCATTCTTTAACGGGTAGCGAGCTCGAGAGGCACCTGTGTGCAGCAAAAAAGGTGAACTGTTCAGATTGTCGATTTGAGGTCGATATAGCCGCGCATTGCATCCATTCCATGGAAGGGTGCAGTCCTAAACAATGATAAACAGTGAAGGTTCTGTAAAACTTCTGTTACTTGTAGAGAGTGAGGGCCGTGACGGATGGAAACGTGTGGTTTGTGCAACCATGTCCTCAAGTCCTTGGATAAAACCTTAGCCTTAGCTGAACAAAAGCGGAGGTGGTTTGGGGTTTGCTACGTGGGGCACCTGATTTGGGAGGTTCTTGTAGGTCAACCAAAAGATCCTTCAGGATTCAGGAGGATTCAAGCATCGAAGACGCGTTTTAATTTTCTTCGCCATCTTCATCCCGGCGAAGAAGTAACATGTCGGAGAGCTGTTTTTTTGTAGGACATGCAGTTGATTTGTTCTGCACATTTGGCCTGATTCGTTCATCAACGCATGATAGAAGGATGATGGTTGCCACGAACACTGCACACGTGCGGGTCAGACGTGCCGTCGAGTCTGCCAGGGTGCTGAGATACACTGAGACCATGATCAAGCCTAAGTACCAAAAGGTCGATGTCGAAAAGGCAGGTACCATCGTGCCCAGCCGGAAGGTAACATGGTATTCACCGGTACCGCTTCATGCTTTGAGACTTACACTTTTTCTCAGGGTGAGGAAGGAAAGAGGCTGCTTGTTTACTCGGCTTGAGCTGGTTGAATTTCTTGCTGACCAGACGTTGCCTTTCACTCGTTTCTAGCCAGAGTCATGAACATGGAAAGACTGTTTCATCTCACATGTAGAATGTAGAAAAACTCTGACAGAACCGCCACGTTTCTGACGCATCGCACGACGCCGTGCCGTTCTGAACGGCGCTTCCACAGGTTCACATCATGACGATGCTCCCGCAGATGTTGACGAAGGAGACGACGACGACCTCACCACAAGATGCCCCACATGTCCCGTTTTTTATCTTTTTTCCGGTAAGTGGCTCCACCTTCGGTTGATGCCTCTCGCTAGAGCCGCTGGTCACCGCTAGTCATTTGGACAAGGAGTCTGCCAAACAAACACCAGGCCACCGGGCTGTTGCTGTGTTGATCGTCTATAGATATTCCGCTCACATAGTCCCTCTCAACTACAGACTCTCCCAAGTCTCAGGGACGTCTTCGCCTTAATACACTCCAGAAGGGACATTCGACACGTGTTCGGTTCGATTTGGTTCTGTTCGAAAGGCAGAGATGTGTGTGTCTCATGTTGAGGAAGTGAACTTGGAGATCTACCAAAAACATTTGGTGGTTCAAGCCTCAGCAGCCCTAGCAGCACCGTAGCCTCAGCTCCCGAGCAGCCCTAGCAGCACTATGCTTTTGTGTCTCGTAGCTTGCAGATCCATCAATTCAATCCAATCACTTTGAGCATCGGAAGACAAAACTATAACTTGTTGATGTTGCCATTCGGAACGGCAGAGAAGCACTGCAGAGGTGCATCCGTTGTTCGATGCCTTACGTGGCGCTCTCAGAGGGTTCTGATTGACCATAAGCAGACCTCAAGTTATTGGTCATTGGGTTTTAGAACAAGACAAAACACGAGCACATCAGCGGGTGTTCATCCATTTCATCGCATTTCTCTGCTTTGCTAAGTGCTTTTGACAGATTTGCAGTTGCCCATGTTGAGAGCCCCTCTTTGGACCGGCCAAGTGCATCTCCGCAAGGCGATGTGAACATCACCTTCATGCAAAAGTTGTGCTCGTGCGCCCTGAAGGACCGATTTGGGAGCTCAGGCCATCGTGCCATGCCCTGTCTCATGCCGAGTGTCGACGAGGCGTCGTTCGTTGATGATTGCCACGCAAGAATTGCACGTTTGGCCTTCTTTCAGATTTAACAGGCCCAATGACCTGATGACACTGGCAAACTTGGAGTGAACTGTGCGTTTCATTGTATTACCCTCATCCTGACCGTCGGACCAGTGAAAAAAGAAAAGAGTGTTATCTCCAGTATAGGCTACCACAGGCTTGCCAGAGAGAGAGAGAGAGCGTGTGTGAGGAATCCGTCCTGGAGAAGGGCGAGATGATGTTCAGTCCTGGGCAGGTTTGCAACAGCATGTGGGGACCCTAAGCCTCCAGTGGCACTTGGCATTTATGGTTGAGTTTCACAGACCTTTGCTTGTGAATTCAACAGGACATTGTGTTGCAACTGCTTCTTTTGACCCTGTTGATGAAGGACGAGAAGTCTAGGGCCATTTAGGACCAACATGTTTTGGGACCTGCACGTATGGCACATCCATTCAGGTTCTTCGTTTCGCATGGCACCCTGGACTACTGGATATGGCAGGAGATTGGATGTGTTGGACATGGCGGGTGTTTTGTTTGCTTGCTTGTTTGACGTTAGGAACGCCGGTCGAGACGCTGATCAGTCATTTCGCCTCACACCTTTCCTCGTTCTGCTGTTCGGGGCTTCAGCAGTACGTGCCAGGGTTAGAATATAGTGTTGTTCCACTGTCCCACTTAGCGGGAACTTAGGAAATTGCTCAACTAAAAAGATGAACTTTGCGTTGACCAAAAGGGTCGGGACTGCGCCCCAGACTGGTCCTTCCAGGAAGCCCGGCCTGAGAAGCTGGAGCGAAAGACCTCCTTCTGCGAGGCACGGACCTCCTCCGGCTGCAACGCAGGAGAACATGTGCAATCCTCCGATGGGATAATAACTATATACAGCAATTAAGCCGCCATGTAGGGGTAACGCAATGGCCACGGCTACTGTGTTATATAATATGTTATAATATGTTATATACAGTATAAAGTTATATATACACATGTGATCTGTTTTCGATGTGTTTGTTTGAGAGTGAGGGAGAGGCTCTGAGGGAAGATGTAAGGCCCAGCTTGAGGTGGCCAAGACTCGAGGTGTTCGAACTGTTGTCGCGGCCTGGTCCGTTGGTCTGTCCCAGGCGGTGCTTTGGACGCCATGGATCCATCAGGGGAGGAGGGCGGTGTGAGATGCCATGCGGGGCAGGTGTGCAGGTTGGACATGCGAAGGAGAAAGAGGTTGTCTTTATGCAAGACAGGTGAGAATCCCCTACTTCATGTACTCTAAGTCATTTAGCTGGTTCTTTCCCTTGCTTTGTGGCGTCAACACGTGGGATCACTGGTCGCCGAGTCGCGGGCTGCTTTTTGGAGGGTGGGATTCATCCATCTAGTCATCTAGTCTAATTAGAGCTTTTGCTTGCTTCTGCATCCTTCACATCTTGCACCGAGGGACTACGAAACTTACTGAGTGAGATAAATTATGTTCTGGTAAGAATCTGTTTTCGGACTCCTGAGTTTCTTCTGACAACCAAAGGAGCATGCCACTCCCTGAAATGACCAAGAAAACGGTGAGAGCACCTCTCATTGATCAATCACTCCATGAGGTTCCAATCTACGATCACACCAACGGTTGAGCTGGATCTCGACTCGATCCGTCGACTGTTTGGTAGATCGCACTTGTTGCTAGTAGCTTCTTGTTGCTAGTAGCGATGGCCTCCAACTAGGGTAACCTAATAGCCATGGCCTCCACCGTGCGTAACTTAATTTGCCTATTAGATCGGCCAGATCTCAGCTGCAGGATGTACGCTCGGACAGAGTCCACCATCATTGCTTTGGACGCCATGCAGTGCCTCCGCTCAGATACCATCGGTTTTTTCTTAGGCTCGATGGCCTCGTTTCTGCCAGTCCTATTGATCCAAACCACAGCAACAGCGCAATGGCGAAAAGCTTGATACAGGTCAAGTAGCCTTCCAGTTCAACTCAGGGGTAATTTAGCCAACCACCCAGGTTTGACTAAGAAGATAAGATGAATCTATGATAAGTGATACTATGATATGAAAAGTAGCTTCAGCTATACTGTAAAATGTCAATGAAATGTTTTTGGCGCGGGGGAGTGGTGGCGAGCTGTTTTTATTTTTTTTTTTCGAATCAATTTCTTCCTGGGTCCTCTCAGGTTGATTCATTGCTGTGACAGACTTGTGACTTGTGGTAATTAGTGATAAACTGTAGGGATCATGGAAATCAGTTGCTTCATAGCATGCTGTGCACTATGCAGCGATGCAAACTGACAGGCCCCAACTCAGAAGGTTTGTTTGGTTAATCGTTGGTTGTCGACCAACTCTGTCTAGATATTCTTCAAGTGGAGGGTTAGTGTTAGGCTCTTGTGGCATTACCAAACAAAAGCCGACAAAAGCCATTCAGCACCACGACATACCACGACCGCCATGTCTCTTCCAATTCGTTGCGGGTCTCATTCCCGCCGTTTCGCCCGGCGAACACCCACGGCGGAGGTTCCACTCGGTGGCGGAGTCCTTCAGCGCGCACATGGAGCTTCTGAGGCACCGGAAGCCGCTCTGAAGCTTCCATCCGCGAGGGTTGCAAGGGATCCACTAAATCGATGTATTAGGGAGTGTCACTAGCAGCTTGACTGCCAAGCTACTTAATGGGGAACGATGTGAGCAGCTTGACGCGCCAGTTCGTCCAAGTTTGAGGTGTTAATGCGCACGGATTGCGCTTGATGCGTTCGATCCTACGGCGTAGGACCTACGCTGAAGAGTTTGTCCACGCCATGAATGAGCTGGCTGGAAACTTCACAGATGATGAGGACCGGAGCAGAAACTGTCCATCATTGGTCCATGATTTTGCCGGTTGAAAATGGTCTCCTGTTCACTTTTTGAGGCTTTGGGGTGCTTCGCAGAAAAACTGTGAAAACAGAGACGTCCCCAAAAACGAGGCTCGGAGGTGAGACAACTGGCCCAAAGCCTGGTCCAACAGAAGTGGTGAAGTGGTTCTTGCTACTCCCGACCGATACCGATCACCATCTTCCCGATTTTCCCTTTGCCCTCACGATCCGTCGGGCCCACGAAACGCCTGGATCTGCTCGAAACGTCCATCGGTCGGCGCCGAACCTTCAGGAAGACGATGCCGAACTTTCGGACCTCTTCTATTCCATGCAGGCTTTCGGATTTGGCTGTGACACATACAGAAAAGCGACATGGGTCAGCTCGAAGAGCTTGTTTTAGGTCAGCTGATTACCGCACCCTCCGTCGTGACGCTCATAAATTGAAGCTGCAGATTTCAGTGCACAGGTTGATCTTGTACATGAGCCCCAGCAGGGCCTAAGCATCATGAGCCACAGGAACCTCCCTACAGCAGGCGCAGCAATTTCAAGGGGTTCAGGTGAAGTTCTTCTGACTCTAGAGGAGAAGTCAGAACCCCAGCAAAACAAGGCAGATCAAGGCAGTAAACATAACAAAAAGAGATGCACCTGGCGTTTGCGCTTCCAGGCCATTGAAACGCTTCCAGGAAATCGATCCTTCGCAGAGGCCGGTGGTCCATTTTCTTCCTCGCTTTCTGAGCGGGTAGTGAGTGGAAGAAGGAGGACATAGGCCAAATTAGGCCGCATGGGCCCATAGGAGAGGAGAACAAATACGACCTGGATTCAGCTGGGGGTTGGTTGTTCAAGAGGATTCAGGGAGGTGGATAGTTGGTCTATGGTTGGAAGCAGGTATGCCTTGAAGAGCGCATTGAAGTTACGTCAAACTTGAGGTTACCGGCGGATGCATCACTCAAATGTCACATCAGCAAATTAGTTTGGAAGGAAGAAAAGCAGAAGTTCTCCGTACTCGATGAGGCACCAGGTCCGACCTGTTCAATGAGGCACCAGGTACACCCTGCAAACCCTCTTCTAGCAGTTCGATCAGCCCAAAGCCGTGCCAGCGCGATGCCGGTCAGGGGGCAGCCACGAATTCTCGCTACTTCAAGAAGAAGGTCAGTGCTGACCTCAGCAGCTCACTGTGATGTCGCGGGGAGCACTTGGCTGGAGACATGGACCAAATCCTTCCAGTCCACTGTGTAGAATTTTGCATAATCTCCTGGCCAGGGTGGCCGGGCTAGAGATGGCCCCGCGTCGATGGGGTCAACGCCACGTTGCCAAGGAAAGCTAATTAGTCCACCCGTGAGTCCTACCTTGCTGCTCTCAGCCTTTCAGGAGGCGCCGGGGGAGGCGTTGTTTCGACTCCTAATAGACTCGCGGGAGGCGAGAGACCAATGCATTCTGTAGATGTATGTCTATGTTCTCTCTTGTTTGGTTGTTTTGCATGCTTGTGGGGGGGGCCGTCCTCCAGTGGAAAGTCATGTGTGGATGGAAAAGCACCACAGGTGAGATCGTCAGCCACATGAATATGTCTAATCTCTATGTAGGCAAAAGGCAGCTAATTGACTCAAACCAACAGATCACCCTGGTCGCGCAGGTTGATGTGTCGTTGATAGGTTTCCAAGGGTTTTCAGCTGAATTTCAATGCCAAAAAAAAATGAATCGGAGCACCCAGGTTTGGTCGTATCTTTTTCAGTCTTTATTAGACCGTCCGGAGTGCAGCGGAACTGCAGATGAGCACTGATGGGCTCAACAACTCCTTGGACGAGGTCGCCGAGGACGAGGACATCGTGGAGAGCTCAGGGGCGATCCGGTGGCAGCTGTGGCGGCCATGGATAAACACTACATTGACATGACACTCTTGTCGGGAAGGGTCCTGCCTAGAGGAACCTGGATCCCCCAAAATCTGTATATAATATATATATATATATTATACTATACTATAAATATACAAAATGTTGGAATTAAACATTAAGTGGTTTGCTATTCTAGTCTTGTTCATCGATGGGCAACCCGGGGCAAGTGTGGAAACCCGGGATTGGCTGAATCAGCCTGGGGTACTGACCTTCGGTGACATTCTGTGCTTTCGTTTCGATTGTCTCCTTTCGGTCACCGGTCGCGGCTGAGAAGGGCATAGAGGAGCCTGGGAAGGAGCGATCTAGGTCAATGGTTCCTCCAGGTAGGAAAACCTGGCAGCCGCATCGCAAGGTAAGTGACAAGGCATGACACTTGGATTCCGAAGCCAGATGGTCCATGTGATGTGTGAAAGAGATCCACTACAGGAAGAAACATATCAAGCTGCTGATTTGTTGTGACTCTTGTGGCCAGTTTCTCAAGATTTGAATGTTGGAGAGAATGTCACCCTGATTGGATTTCTTTGGCATATTCTTTGACGATTTTGATGGTCCGAGGGGGAGCAGGAAGGGGCTCCACAATGTTCCTGTTTAATTCTTTGGTGACCCATGATAGTGACCATCGTGGACTGATCATGGACCATGTTGTGCAAAGCGATTAGCAAAGCGCAGCAGATTCACAGGGTGAGCCGGCGATTTTCAGCATGGCTGTTAGAGCAATTGCTTCTCTGCAGCGTCTGACCCTGTGAAACATGTACTCTACTACTCTCAAAGAAGCTCTAGAGCCATTCAATGCATGTGGTTCGTTGGGGAAGTTTCAATAAAATCATATAAATCATATAAAACAATATTACGATGTTGCCAGAGCGTAGTCTAATTTGGTTGGTTGGCTGGATATATTTGAGCAAATTATTCTCCCATGGGCTTGGGAGGTCACTTGAGACCCACTGTGCTTGTCCAACAGCGAAGCTGGGACGGCGACATGTCGCCAAAGATCATTGGGGCTGCATGTCCGGTAGCGAGGAGAGTAGTGAGTAGTATGGATCGGTGCACTTTGTTTGAAACATCAGATGAATCCGCCTCAGGATGGTGTATGGTTGTGAGTTTTGTGGATGGGACGATGATTTTAGAAGAATGATGATCTTCACTATTCATCACTATCTTCACTGTCCATGCAATCGTCGATGCTTGGCTCTAAACGGAACAATGTTATTGTATGATGAACAGTAAGTTTTGGTCATGGAAAGCATCCTGGATCAGTTGGATACATAATATGTACTTTGTAAGTGACGTTTGTAAATAGCAACATGGTCTCTACTAGCGCACTTGTCATGATATCTTACTTTAAGACTATCTACTACGTAGGGGCACTGCATAAGTAACCTTCCCGCATTTGGCATTCGCGCTCCTCTAGCCCACTTGAATGACCCTTCGAAAAGAGAAGCTAGCAGCTGTTGTTTCCCGTGAGTAACTTGAGTTTTTGTTTGGCCAGGCTGGCCAGAGTGCAAGCCCTGATTAGAATCTTTGTCGTTGCAATGGATGCTTTAAGGCCATCCAGCCCGCAGCAGTGGCCAAAGTTGTCATGCCGCAAGAACGCTGTTTCGCTTGCGGGAGGGTACAAACGAACCCGCATTGTTTGGAATAGAACCCTTGGTACGGAGATGTAGAACCATTTCATAATCATTCTGGTATATTCTGGTAGCGTTTATTTAAATCTCCACAGTCAACGTGGGCTGCCTAGCATGTGCGTTGTTGGCACCACGCAAGGGCTGAGAGTGAATCCAAGTCTCACTCACATGCCGTTCCAGTTTATGTGCGCGATATACACTTCCCAGAGCCAGTTTCTGGTCAAAGTTCAAAGTCAACTACCCCTCAGCACAAGTCAAGCAAGGCCTAATGTCTTGTGAAGAGCATTCCTGAGCAAATGTTGTTGGATTGAAATCGAACAGCTTCCGGGGCGGAATGACCTGAAGCCGGCCTCATGACCCAGGCTTCCCGGGAATTGCTGCTTGAGAGCGGAGTGTTGGGAGATTGTGCACCTAGAAGGAGGGGTTGGGGATAGGACGTTGTCTCAGAAGCATGTCAATGTCAGTGTGACAACCAACTCGACTGACCTTCAATTTGAGGATGTTCCTTGCCAAGCACATTGTTGGTATTCCAAGTCGGCATATGTTGGCATTGGTTCTCCTCATCCAAGGTGCTATGTGCATGTCTATCGCGTATGTAGTAGGTGGGCTTGGGTCAAACCTATATATATACATATATAGGTAGTCCTTTTGTAGAAGCTTTCACCCAATCCCCAAACCATCCCTTAATTTAATCCCTTCTCAGGCTTTTGTTGTTTGCATCCACTTCTATGCAGGGATCGCGAGGATGCGTCGGCGTCGACCCACATGAAGACCGTTTTTGTGACACAGATGACCTCAGCAGGCACTGCTTTTGCACCGCAGGCGCTCGTTGGGAACGGTTTGAGCGAGCAGCCCAAATCCTAGCCGTGAATATGGACATCAAAGGTTCTCAAGGATGGCTGAAGACCGTGTCGGGCTGTGGACGATAAGGATTTCCTTTACCCAGCAATATTTCCTTTATATACCAGCTCCTGTAGGTTTGCTGGGATGGACAACAGCGTCTGCTGCAGATGTGCCACACTGCGAGCTCGATGTCGCTGTTCCATGCTTCGTTGGCACCAAGAGTTGTCCAACTCCAGGCGTCGATTTCGATGCGGTGGTGAGTTCGGACCCAATCATTGCTCCGTTCGGGTCGTGGTACGGCCAGGGTCACCCCGTTCGTTGCATCCAATCACTCCGTTCGTAGTGGTATGTCGACGCATGTGTTGTGCATCATTCATGATCATTCCATATCATTCCGTTGGTATTTTCACCTGTTTCGTCGTCAATTTTTTTCTCCATCCCTGTGCGCGGCCATCTCAAATGACTGAGTGCGGGAAATGGTGCAATGTCTCCCATGACCCTCGGCCACTCACGTCTGCACGGGGTTCACTTGCCACGGGGTTCACGCGCGCCTTCGCTTCAATCGTGGGAACCTGAGGTTTAAAGAGCTGCTGCGGAGGAGGGAGCCCATTGAGCCGCTCGGATCGCGTGGATTTCGAGCTCTCCAAAAGTGGTGTTTTTGGGTTCTTCTTGGGGGGCTGGAGGGGGCAGTCCAAGTGATCGGGTGTCGTGGTGTCGTGTAGGAGAAGCAAAACTGACGTCGGGATTTGGGGGTACCAAAACAAGGATTTGTCATGATGCTTGAGGGGAGTGTTTGAGGTTTGAGGATCATCCCAGGTTGCAGTTCTCACATGTTCGATCGACTAAAAAGTTTAAGCATAATGCATTATCGTGTGTCAGAACGTGAGTAGTGTTGAAAGCGTTGAAACATGTTGAAACCATGACAAGCAATGCGACAATGAATCGAATCAAAGCGCATGCACCTCCATTGAACTTTTTGAACATGTATAGATGTTCAATCAATCGACTGTCACTCACCTTCTATTTCGCAAACGGTCGCGCCAGTCCAAGACAGAGCGGCTGGATCATCAATCTATCGAGTGGAGTAGGAGAGCTCTCCAACTCCACGGTGCTGAACTCCGTTGGCCCTAAGGACCTTGGTCACCAACGGAGAATCGCGGAGAATTTGGGTGTGGTGCCCCGGAGCCACGGCGGCTCCGTTCCGGCAGTGATCCGGTACACTGGGGGGGGATGTGTGATGATGTGTGTGTGTGGCTACTGATGTGTGTGGTGGGGAAGTGTGTCACAAAACTCTCCACATCCCTTTCCAGTTATGGCTTTCACTCCCTCATATCGTGTGTGGAGAGTTCACCAGATTGTTCACAAGTTTGGTGCATGGTTGCCTGGTCAATTGGGTCTGAGGGCTAAAAAGGATCAGAAGCAGCTCAGTGCCCTGTGCTGGTCCGACCAGCGCAGACCAGTTCAGTGGCAGACTCCAAGCGACGCTGTTTGTCCTTGAAACAGGTTGCCGCTGTGCCATTCTTTTTTTGCGGGGTTGTTTGGGATTGGGAGGCGACAGGTAGACATTGTTCGAGGCCAAAGAAGAGCGTCCCTCCTATCAAGCGGAAGAAGTTGAGAAGAGGCTGGTAGGATCTGGGAGATTGTGATCTCTTGTACCTTTGTTTCTGAACGAAATTAGAGACCGACTGAGGCACTGTCATAATGTCCCTTTAGCAGCTGTTTTCTTGCAGCTTTTGTCAATATGGAACTATGATGTTGTGGCATTTATCCCCACATCTACTGCCTGCACAACTGGACGCTACGGACCCAAACCCTCCGCCACATTCCGCGACAGCCTTGTTTGCCCCAAAATCGTTCTGCGCCAAATCATTTCAAAAATGCGTGCCCAATGTGAGACCAAGCTTCGTTGACGCCGTGCATTCCCTTGCGCCCCGCTTGACCCGGGGTCGGCGGATATCCCTTGGTTGCAGGATCATCGAGCCGCAAGCGCTTGAGAATGCTTTGGCCAAGGAGTTCTTGCCGCCGCTTATAGTGCCAAGCTCAGCCGGTGACCAAACTGTTTGACTTACGCATCTAGTTTCCACAAAGGATGCCAAGAAATGCTATTGATATTGTGTTTGATACCACTGCATGAAACAGATATAATTGAGTCAATTGGATTCAATCAGGTTGACCTGATGTAGAAGCATCCCAACAACCCACCGACTCTCGCCCGAACCTCGCCACGTCAACCGAGGTTCGGGTCTTGCCGGCCACGCAAGATCTCACTGTGGATGAGACCACGGTCTATGCGAAGGAGGTGGGGGGAGGTGGTCTAGGACTCATGGGGATGGATCGCATGGATGTCGCTCATGGGTTTGGGATGTCCCTGACTTCCATATCGATCAGCTGTATGTTGATGTGCTGTCCGCATGTGCACAGGGGTCACAGGTTTTGGGGTAGAGTTACTGTACAGAATGCCAAGAGAATGGTGGCGGGATTGAGGGTCATCCTTTAAAGAACAACCATACGGTTGAATCTCCTTTCGTTTGTCGCTCACTTTGGCTCTCAAGACCACCTTCAGCAGCCCATACACCTTTTCGCGTCAATATGTATATAATTACAGTGATCGTAAGTAAGTATTTGTTCATGCATGTAAACCATAATATGTGTTATTGCTTTGCTTTCAAGAAGTCCCCGCCGCACAGCTGCCGGCTGACCCCGGTCTGCGGCACGTTTCGCCGTTTTGCCCATGCCGACGGATGGAGGGACTCCCTTGTTGGATGATGATGTGGAGTGTTTCGGCGTTGTTGAGCCAGTTCAGCCCTTTGGGTCTTTCACTCACAGAAGACTGCAGCTTGTGACATAGAATGACTGCATGTGTGAGTCAATGTCATATGTGTGGGGTGGAATTGCCAAGGTACATTACATGAGGAGGAAAGGTTCAACATGGTTCAACCATTCAACCACTTCTTTCATCTCTAAAAGTGTTGTTCCAATCTCAAAGCTCCTTCCAAGGCTGGGCGCCTCAGCCCCTGCGTTGGAAGAGATGCATCCATCAGCTCCGCCTTCTGCCATGACACAGGGCGAACTCAAGGAGTTGATCCAAGCGCCCCTTTGGACTAAGAACCAAACAACGGACGGAACTGTGAGGGCGGGAGAGGTACAGGCAAGACGGGGTCTTAATGTTGTGTCACTGCGCAAAGTGCGGAGATTGAGCACGAGTATGATCAAGGATCTTCATGTATCTTGCAAATTCCAGATAGGAATTGAAGGCTCTTATTGGTGCACCAATGAATGTGTAGAACGTTGTTTCGGGCACACATCCAGTGCGACAGGCTGTGGTGGAAGACCCTCGTTGTGCGGCTAAAAGCGAATGAGAGACATGCCCCTCAATGCCAAAGCAGCCGACTGAAATTTGGATGTACTGTAATTAGGCAGTATTCAAGGATCCTTCAATCAACAGGCAGCCTGCCTGTAAGTTGGTCGTCACCACGGCTTAATGTTGAGTTTTGCCCTGTTCCACGCAGAGGTTTTGGTCCCCCTATAGGATGCATGCTGTGGTCGAGTCTAAGTAGGACCCTAGTAACGATGGCCTCCACCCTAGTAGCGATGGCCTCCTAACACTGATTTTGGTATTCCAAGGCTGCCTCCTGGCCATGCAGATTTGCCCAGTGAGCAAGCGCTGCGCCCTTCGGCGTCCATAGTTGGAAGACCCACACGTGGGTTTGGCGAAGGGAAGAATGGTCAGAAGGCAACACTGTTGCATAAACAATTCTTAGCCACTGCCACAGCTTAAAACTGAGGAAAAAAACAACTCAAAGCACCGGTTAGTTCCCCAAAGAACTTCAAGCCACCAGACTTACAGAAATCGTTTTTAAGCTCCTCGCTGCGATGGACCAAGGAAGCTTCCGGACGGCCACGGCGGGAAAAGTGGTTTGGGCCGAGCAGATGAGAGAGATCGCTTCGACGGCCGTTTCTTTGGCTTGGGAAACGGGCCAAGGATCATGCGGGATGTGATGGGGAGGTGGGATCATTGGAAAACTTTGATGGAGTAGTTCAAGTAATTACTCAACTACTCCATGGATTACGGACGACTGCAGTTGAAAGGGAGCATGGGAGCATTCGGCACTTGAGAAGTAGAACAGTTGCGTCAAAAGATTTGGATGATTTCTGATTGGATTTCAGACTTTGAAGAATTGATGGATGTAATTTACATGGAAAAATGTCCGTTTGAGGGGAACCTCCCAGGCCCTCCCTGCCTCGCATTTGCCTCTCACAGGGCCGGCCTGGTGGGTCCCGCCCCAGGCTGGTGGATCCCACTTCTTCCGAGAGGCCTATGAGCGTCAGAGACTTGGTCTAGAATGAGGCTCTCTTGTGAGAAAGGACCATACCAGCCAGGCAGGCACATGCGTTGCTGGGAATGGAACGGAATGCCTTTTGATGGGGAGACCAGAGTTTGAAAATGTTTGAACCTTTGGTATGAATGTATTTGCTGGAAAAAGAAGGATCTCCAGACTGGGAAGGCTTAGACATCCGTGGATCCTCCAGACACAGTGTGGCACAAGGTATAGAAAATCCGACGTCGCCTACCATTCGCCTCGCCTCTACCGTGGAGTCTCCCGTCGCCCGTGGATCCTGCAAGGTTCATCTTGGATCCCGAGACCCTTACAGCAGCAGATGGGCGCCCTGGCACAGGCGTTCAATATAGGTTGCGTGTGTGTGGGAGCCCTAAACTACAGGGTTCATGAGTTGTTTTTGTAATCAACAAGGGACCCCCATAGGAACGCGGTTCATCAATCCATGCTGAATGGCTGGATCATATTAAGTCTTTCGAGCCATGCAGTCTGCCCCACGTCTGCCAAAAGCAGTGCAGAATGTTTGTCGTCTCAATACTTACTGGGGACCGTCCGTCACCTTCGGCATCCTTCGGCCCCTGGTTGAACAAGGCGAAGTCGGCGAAGTAGAGTCATTCCTTGAACAAGCAGACCTCCATAGATGCTTCAACCTTCCCTCCTTCAGGTAGCATCCTAAAAACATCGAAACTGGCCAAAGCCCTTTTGGTTGATGCTGGTTGCCAAAAAAACAGGAAACATTATATATCACCTGACTGGTGCATGTTTTCCGAAAACCCACCGCCCACCGATGGTCGTTCCATTCATGGCCATTCTCATGTGTCGATTGCCGGAGCTTCCCAGACTTGAGGCCTTGGGCGGAGTTGATTCCAAGCGCACCTCCCGACACGGGTGCAACTCCTGGTGTGGATGGAGCACACGCTGCACAAGCGCTGTTGAATCAGTTGGTGGTCCGAAGCCCGGGCGTCGTCCGTTGTGATGGGTTTTGCGCCAGAGGTGTCAAGAAAATCGGAGACAAGAGCAGAAGGAGAAACTATAGAGATCTATAAAGTCGATTGCAACCCTTGGTACCTGGGTATGACTTTGTTGGGCTCACAGATGTGGAAACACCTGCAGCAGTCTATGAAGATTTGAAGCTCTATCCCAGTAAGAACCTTTGTTGCAACAAAGCAGCTGCAGCTGGAAGCGCAAAGATTGACTTGGGTGCATCAGTTGATGCCTTTCCAATCAGCTGCTTGTGACACATTGCAACTGAGATAGACTCTAGACCTTCAAGATCGTTTCCAACTCAGACCTTTGTGAGGTGATCCGCTTCGATGGGTGCATCGCCAACATCTCAGTGCCCTTGGCTTGTGAAGAACATGGAAGCTTTGGACAGTGGGTTGAGGCATCCTTACACTCCCTTCATCCATCTTCATCTTGATCTGTGGGTCATCCACTGGGTCATCCTGTTTCTCACCAAATAGATCCAAAGCTGTTGGTTTCAAGTTGCAACACCAGAAGTCCCAGGAGCGACCGCATGTTTACAAAACACCGTTGTGACCGAAAAGCACACTGAGAGGTCAATTCCGCCCAGACCTGGTTGGAGATCGGCCACCAAGCAGCCTCGCGCTTTGGAAACGTGGTCTTTGACCCACTGCGTCATGAGCTCTTGGGGGTGGGCCAAGCGAAAGAGAAGGGCTTGCAGGTGGGGAAGGGGGTGGGGAGGGCCAAATTCTGGAAGGTGTTTCCATGTGTTTCCGGATATCACGAAAGGTAGCCTGGTAAGGACTACCTTGAGTTTGCTTTGCGAAGCAAAGGGACTGGCTTGAGAGCCTGCTCGGGACTAATTCTGGACACACCATCACACCATAGGGTGAAGTCATGCGCTTAGCAGTCACAGCAGTACCACGCTGGCCATGAGGTTGCGCAATACAGCACGAACCCTGCAGAATGAGGTTGCGCAATGCGGCTTCGATGCCGCGCGCGCGCACCCGGCAACCTGACACAGCGCGTACTACCATATTGCTCGACACCAACGAGCATCGATGCAATACAGCCTCTCTGCAAAGCCCTGTGCAAAAACTTCTCGCTTCGCGGAGCGCCATTCGACTCAGCCTTATACCCTAGCGTGGCGACATCGTACCGCATCGTGGAGCACCACTACACAGCTATTTACGCACCCTTCCCATCAGCCACCCACCATAGCGTGACGTCCATCCCTGGCAGTACCGGCCGCACCCCTCCAGCACTATCCTTACAAGGGGTTGGTCACTGCCACTTCGACGCAACGCGTGCAGGCCTGTGTCCTGACACAGTGCGTGCAGCTGTGGGACCATAGCTGGTACACATGCGAGCGTTTACGCATTGTGACTTTTACGCGCGCCTGTTTTCACACACCTTTACGCAAACGAGCGTCGACGCAACGCAGCCTCTCTGCAGAGCCGTGTGCTGCAATCTGACCGCAACGGTGTTCCTCTTGAGCCTTCTTGTGCTCTCTGGCTTTGTTGGTTTTATCCATGATTGACCAAGGGGAAGGTTCCTGAAACACCGGAGACAGTCCCTCACCAGAAAAGATCCCGACAGCTACCTGGTCCGTCTCTACCTTTCATGTTTCCCCGCTCAAGTCCAACTACCAGTCGATCCCGAGGATGAATACGATATGTTTGTTGCGGATGTATGTTGTCGAGTTCGGAGAGGTTGCCGGATCTGTTCCACGGATCCATCCGCACAAACTTCCAGGCGGGTCAGACGGTGAAGATCACGGCGGTGGTGAACCGTGCGGAGCTCAACGGGAAGATTGGACGGATCGTGCGGGTCAACGGGGACGAGTTGGATGTGGCCTTGCCGCATGGCGCCCCGCACAGCACCCGGAGTATGTTCGTCGGTCGGTCGGACACTGACTGGGCGGGTGACGAGGAGCCCATGCTGTTCGCTGGAGCCCATGCAGCTGACGACTGGGGAGATGTGGGGAGGAGGGTTTCAG